TAATTGCTGACCTGAAGATTGGCTGAACTGCTGACCTGAAGGTTGGTAGTTTGAATTTGCGAGATGGGGTGAGCCTCTGTCTATCAACTCCAGCTCTAGGCAACCTAGCAATTGAAAAACATGCAAATGTGAGTAGATAAATAAGTGCTGCTTCAGTAGGAAAAGGCAAAGAGACGCAGCTCCTTGGCTTGAAAATGGAGAAAAGCACCTCCCCAGAGCCAGAGATGAGCACCACCTCCAGAAGCCAGAAATGAAAGGAGGAGCCTCTGCCTTTGTTTGTGTGTTTCATTGTATATGGTTGTAAACACATTGAATGTTTGCCTATGTATGTAAAGGCTGCAATCTGCTCTGAGTCCCCTAGGGCAGAAGGGTGGAATATAAATAAAATGTATTATTATTATTATTATTATTATTATTATTATTATTATTAGGAGGGAAGAGTGATTTTCTAGTTCTGCCTTGAGCTGGAAACATTTAGGGAGCATCCCTGACACTATCAGACTCAGCTTTAATTCCAGAGGTCAACTTTTGCTTGGCTGCCTTAGCAAATGTAGTAAAAGCTTGCCCAGTTATAGCCAGGCGTTTATTTCCCCAGGGCAACATTCCCTAACAGTTGACAATCAGTCTTGAGAGATGTCCTCTTCCTCCAGTAGAGCCCCTGTGAACCAGTGAGAATAACAAGAAGGCTACAAGAAAAGTACCTATCTTAGGAATGGGTAGTGGTGGTGGTCTTTGCATAGAATCATAGAGTTGAAGAGACCACATGGGTCATCTGGTCCAACCCTCTGTCAAGCAGGAAAAGCACAATCAAAGCACCCCTGACAGATGTGTGGCAGAATGAAAATTACACGTAGTTCACGTCTTTACCAATCCACACACTGTCTTGCTAGAGAAAAGATATGTCATGCAGATGATCAGTAAAAAATAAGGTGTTTACTCTTTGTCACACAGGGCAACATATATACAGTCATGTGAACAATTGCATTGACTCACATGATGTCCTTTTGAGAGAGATTCAGATGGTCCTTAAGTGTACATGTGAAAGATCTTCCAGCAGCCCAGGAGCAGAAATACTGTCTTGGTAAGCTCCTGCACAGAAAACCTAAATATGTAACTGTTGCCAAAATTCCCAGGCTCAGCTAGCCTCTTGGGCATAGCCCAACCAATCATTTGCATTTTTCAGTTAACACACACATCAACAGATTTTTACATGCTCCAACAAGATGGCCATCCAGCCTCAACGTAAAAGCTTCCAAGGAAGGAGCTTCCACCACACTGCTCTTCTTGCTGCAAGGGCTAAGAATTCTGGGAGCTGTAGTCCAAGCCATCTGGAGGACCACCTGACCCAAAGGTTTGGCAGATAAAAAAGTGAAGGCTCATGTATCTTTAATGGTTGTGTGGATCAAGGAACATGTTCCATTCCTGTGTGACAGGCAGCACCTGCTGAAATGCCTTCTTCTACACAACAAGTGTCAAGGAGGCCTCTCCACTTTCACTCTGAAACTGCACAGACTGAATTATTCATGTTTAGCTTTCAACCTTCAGCTCTAATATGGATGTTGTGCCTGTATGGGAAATGGGAAAATAATGGGACTCCAGGTAATTTTTGAGTGCATGCCCTCTTAATGCTGGATCTCGCCTGTGCTTTTAAAACAGAAGAAGGCTGCAGGTGGGAAACGTCTGGATTGCAACAAGCCAGATTTCAATCAGTCAATCTGAAGAAGTCACTTTACATTCACAAAAGAGTATTCAAAAATTAAAACCAGCTAGTTTAAAGGTGCAGCAACCGTGTCCAATGCATTTTTCCTATGAGGATGTTATCCAAAATGCTTGGGACTTGCAGTGTTTTAGATTTGTTGGGGGTGGGGGGGGGGGGGGGGGGGGGAGGGAGGTATTTGTAATGACTGGAAATAAGGCCAATTGGAAATAGCACCAATCATACATCCTATACATATAATCATTTTTAAATATGTAGATGTAATTTACCTTTATTTATGTGTTGTGGCACTTGTATGTGCTTCTGTAAGTCCTGAGTCCTTCTGGGAGATGGTGGAGGGGTATAAATAATCTACTGATATTGTTATTATTTTATGCACAGTACTTTTAATATTTTTTGCATGACACAAAGTTTGTATATATGGAACTCTCAGAAACCAAATGTGCCAATATCTCAGCCACCCATCTGGACAGTATTGGAATAGGAGCCTCTGGTGACACAATGCGTTAAACCCTTGTGCCAGCAGGACTGACTGAAAGGTTGGCAGTTCAAATCTGGGGAGCTGGGTGAGCTCCCATCTGTCAGCTCCAGCCTCCTTTACAGGGACACGAGCAAAGCCTCCCACAGGATGGTAAAACATCCGAGTGTCCCCCAGACAACGTCCTTGCAGATGGCCAATTCTCTCACACCAGAAACGACTTGCAGTTTCTCAAGTAGTTTCTGACACACACACACAAATATTGGAATGCTGAATAAAAGAGTTAATGCAGTTTGACGCCACTTTGCCTGCTATGGAATCGTGGGAGATTTAGCCTCCTTTGCCAAAGAGGACTGCACAATCAACTCCCATAGTTGCTCAGCTTTGAGCCAGGACAGTTAAAGAAGTGTCAAACTAACAGAAACAACCTCTGTCAGAGATCCCTGGTGCCACATCAAACAACAAATCCCAGGATCACAGGTGGAGCATGTAGTTTTGTTTACCCTTCACTTCCAGAGATTGCATTGTGGAATGAATGCAGTTTGACACCATTTTAACAGTCATAGCTTAGTGCTATGGGACCACAGGTGTTATAGTTTGCAAGGTCTTTCACTTTCTCTGCCAAAGAGTCTGGGGCCTCAATAAACTTCATCTCCACTGCATTAAGCCATGGTGTAGTGGTTCTCAACCTTCCTAATGCGCCAACCTCTTAATACAGTTCCTCATGTTCTCGTGACCCCCAACCATCAAATTATTTTCATTGCTACTTCATTGCTGTAATTTTGCTACTGATATGAATCATGTAAATATCATTTACTGGACCAAATTTGGTGCAAATATCCATGTGCCCACATTTGAATATTGGTGGGGTGGGGTGGGGTGGGGGGGGATTGATTCTGTCATCTGAGAGTTGTAGTTGCTGGGATTTATAGTTCACCTACAATCAAAGAGCATTCCTAATTCCACCAACGATGGAATTGAACCAAATTTGGCACACAGAACTCCCATTGGCAACAGAAGGGTTTGGTGGGCATTGACCTTGAGTTTTGGAGTTGTAGTTCACTACATCCAGAGAGTACTGTGGACTCAAACAATGATGGATCTGAACAAAATTTGGCATTATTCCTCAATATGCCCAAATGTGAACACTGGTGGAGTTTGCAGGAAAATAGACCTTGACATTTGGGAGTTGTAGTTGCTGGGGCTTATAGTTCAACTACAATCAAAGAGCATTCTGAACCCCACCAATGAATTAGGCCAAACCCCACATAGAATCCCCATGAACAACAGAAATTACTGTGTTTTCTAATGGTCTTTGGTGACCCCTCTGACACCCCCTTGCGACCCCCCGCCCCGAGGGTCCCAACCCCCATGTTGGGAAACACTGCCATGGTGGTTAAAGTGGTGTCAGGCTGTATTAACTCCACATTCTAGAGCAGCCATGGGCCAACTTGGGCCCTCCCTCCAGGTGTTTTGGACTTCAACTCCCACTATTACTAACAGCCTCAAGCCCTTTCCTTTTCCCCTTAGGCTGCTGAGGGGGGAAAGGAAGGAGCCTGATGCTGTTAGGAATTCTGGGAGTTGAAGTCCAAAACACCTGGAGGGGGCCCCAAGTTGGCCCATGCCTGCTCTAGATGCACCTCAAGTTGATGAAGCCTAGGCTGAAAAAGAATGGGATTCTGAAGTTTGCCAATCATTCTCCTACAGTTGTGCGCCCTTCCCTCCACCAGAAGAACCCTTTGCAGAGTGGGACCTTAATCCAAGGGCAGTTTGACAAGGGACCTTTCCACACAGTCCTATATCCCAGAATATCAAATCAGAAAATCCCACAATAAGGCAGTGTGGACTAAGATAATCCAGGGCCCTTCCAGACAGCCATATAACCCAGAATATCAAGGCTGAAAATAGGAGTCGCCTGCAACGCAGTGGGTTAAACCCCTGTGCTGGCAGGACTGAAGACCAACAGTGCGGATGAGCTCCCTCTGTCAGCTCCAGCTCCCCATGCGGGGACATGAGAAAAGCCTACAACAAGGATGGTTGGTAACATCCCCTGGACAACGTCCTTGCACACAGCCAATTCTCTCACACCAGAAGCGACTTGCAGTTTCTCAAATTGCTCCTGACACAGCAAAAAAGGCAGAAAATCCCACAATATCTGCTTTGAACTGGGTTATCTGAGTCCACACTGCCATAAAACCCAGTTCAAAGCAGAAAATGTGGGATTTTATTCAGCAGTGTGGAAGGGACCCAGTCCAAAGCAGATATTGTGGGATGTTCCGACTTGATATTCTATGTTATATGTGGGAGGGCCCAAGGTCTTTTGCCTTCTGGGCCAAAGAGTGCTGCTTGGCTCCCTAAAATCCTGGGGTGGCCCAGCCTGGAGCCCTGGTGGGAGTGCCTCAGGCTGCCTTTTCCCATTGTCAGCGTGGATGCGCCCCCGACTAGCTAACCCAGGAGGATGCTCCCACTCGGAAGGAGGCGGAGCCCGTTCACACGTGTTTGCCTGCGATTCCTCCCGGGCACTCCGCCGCTGATCCGCGGGGCGGTGAGGCTGTGGGGCAAGGGATGCAGCTGAGGCGCAGGAAGGCCACCCAACCCGGGGCGCGCTGCGTTTGGGAAGCCTCCGAAGTGGAGCGAAGCTTGGAGTGAAGCCTCCGGACTCGGCTGGGCTCTTTGGCTGCTGCTGCTGTTGCCTCCGCAGCAGTAGCAAGACCCGCTGGGACTGGCGCCTTTGGAAGAAGGAGAAGGAGAAGGAGGCGGAGAGGAGGAGGAGGAGGAGGAGAAGGAGGAAGAGGAGAAAGGAGGAGGAGGAGGCGGCGACGCGGAGGAAGGTGAGGATGGAGCCCGGCAAGGAAGCCCCGGACTCCTCCGTCGGGGAGGACCCGGAGGCTGCTTCCTCCTCCTCCTCGGCTTCCTCCTCCTCCTTCCAGGCCCGTCTTTGGCGGAACCTGCAGCTGGGCAGCAAGAGCAAAAGCCGGGCGGGCATCAGCGGGCGCCGCAGTGCGGAGACCTCGCCGTCCTTGCCCCGCGCCCAAGGGGAGCCCGGGCCCCACAAGTGGGCCGGCTTCCGCCGCAGGAAGCCCGTCCTGGACCGGGTCTTCTCCTCCTCGCAGCCCAACCTCTGCTGCAACTCGACCGAGCCCTTGGAGACCCCCGGAGGGCCCGAAGGCGGCTCGGCGCTGCGCCGCTTGCGGGAGCACATCCTCCACCCGCACCCGCGCCCGCCCCGCAGCAAAGGCAACACGCCTCCTTCCTCCGCCTCGTCCTCGGTGGCCTCCTCGCCCCGGCTGCCCCGGGAGAAGAGGAGCGCGGATGGGGCGCCCAAGGCAGAGGAGAAGCAGGAGGAGGAGCAGGAAGAGAAGGAGGGGAAGGGGCTGCCTCCCAAGCACCAGCAGCAGCACCAGCAGCACCTGTCCCACCAGAAGAGCTCCTCACTCCCGGGCACCGCTTGCTTGGAGCAGCTGCTGCAGGAGTCGCCCACCAAGGGCAAGGGCAAGGCCGGCGGCGGAGCAAGCAGCAGCCCCAAGGCCAGCCCGCGCCCCGCCCCCAGGACCCCGCAGGTACCCGCCTTGGCCTCCACCTGGCCTCCCGTGGGGAGAAGGAAGAGGGGCTTAGCCTGGGAGCAAAAGAGCACCACCACTTGGCCTGCCAGGACTCAGGGTTATGGGCACCTGGGAGTCCTAGGGCAGGGGCTCTCAACCTGTGGTTCCCCAGATGTTTTGACCTTTAACTCCCAGAAATCTCAACAGCTACTAAACTGGCTGGGACTTCTGGGAGTTGTAGACCAAAACACCTGGGGACCCACAGGTTGAGAACCACTGTCCTAGGGTGTGTCTACATTGTAGAAGTCAAGCAAATAGATGCACCTGTATTTACTTACTTACTTAGGCGATCCCCCGTAGTCTGAGGATGATGGTCCTCCAAGTGATGTGTCTTGGCAGTGGATACTTACTTACTAAAGCTATCCCTCGTAGTCTGAGGATGATGGTCCTCCAAGTGATGTGTCTTGGCAGTGGATACTTATTTACTTGGGCAATCCCTCGTAGTCTGAAGATAATGGTCCTCCAAGTGATATGTCTTGGCAGTGGATACTTACTTACTAAGGAAAGCCCTCATAGTCTGAGGATGATGGTCCTCCAAGTGATGTGTCTCGGCAGTGGATACTTACTTAGGCGAGCCCTCGTAGTCTGAGGATGAGGGTCCTCCAAGTGATGTTTTCTTGGCGGTGGTGGTGGGTACATAGGTGGCTGTGGAGCCCTATTCTTGGCCTGCATGTTCTCCTGCAGTGAGAGCATTGGTTTCCAGGTGGAAGGTGGTTCTGGTCGGGGTTGGCTTGATTGGCATGGGTGCGTAGGTGGCTGTGAAGCCCTATTCTTGACCTGCATGTTCTCCCTCAGTGAGAGCATCAGTTTCCAGGTAGAAGGCGGCTCCAGTCTGGGTTGGCTTGACTGGCGATGGATACGTAGGTGGCTGTGGAGCCCTATTCTTGACCTGCATGTTCTCCCACAGTGAGAGCATTAGTTTCCAGGTGGAAGGCGGTCCCAGTCAGGGTTGGCTTGATGCTCCTTCCTCTTGGCACATTTCTCTCTTTTGCCCTCCATTTGTGCCTCTTCAAATTCTATAGCACTGTGGGTCACAGCTGAGCTCCAGCTGGAGTGCTCAAGGGCCAGGGCTTCTCAGTTTTCGGTGTCTATGCCACAGTTTTTAAGGTTGGCTTTGAGCCCATCTTTTAATCCCATGGCTCAGTGTTATGGACCCATGGGGCTCCTAAGGTGTAGCTACACAAGGCATGGGCAAAGTTGGGCCCTCCAGGTGTTTTGGGCTTCAATGCCACTATTCCTAACAGACTCAGGACCCTTCTTTTCCCCCCTCAGCCACTTAAGGAAAGGGCCTGAGGCTGCTAGGAATGGGGGCGTTGAAGCCCAAAACACCTGGAGGACTCTACTTTGGCCATGCCTGATCTACACTCTTAGGGCCCTTCCACACATCCCTATATCCCAGAATATCAAGGCAGAAAATCCCACATTATCGGAGTAAGACAACCCAGTTCAAAGCAGATATTGTGGGGTTTTCTGCCTTGATATTCTGGGATATAGGGATGTGTGGAAGGGCCCTGAGGCAGTGTTTCTCAACTTTGCTAATGCTGCTACCCATTCCTCAAGTTGTGGCGAACCTCTAAACATAACATTATTTTTGTTGCTACTTCATAACTGTCATTTTCCTACTGTTATGAATCGTAATGTAAATATTTGCAGGATATATTTTCATCCACTGAACCAAATTTGAGACAAATCCACGATATACCCAAATTTGAATCCTTGTGAGATTGGGGAGGATTGATTTTGTCATTTGGGAGTTGTAGTTGCTGGGATTTATAGTTCACCTACAATCAAACAGCATTCTGAACTCCCCCAACCATGGAATTGAACCAGACTTGGTGCACAGAACTCCCATGATCAACAGAAAATACTTCAAAGGTTTGGTGGGCATTGGCTTTGAGTTTTGGAGTTGTAGTGCACCTACCTCCAGACAGCACTGTTGACTCAAACAATAATGGATCTGGGTCAAACTTGACATGAATACTCAATATGCCCAAATATGAACATTGGTGGAGTTTGGGGAAAATAGACCTTGACATTTGGGAGTTGTAGTTGCTGGGATTTATCGTTCGCCTACAATCAAAGAGCATTCTGAACCCCACCGATAGATTTGGGCCAAACTTCCCACGGAACCCCCATGACCAACCGAAAATACTATTTTTCTGGTGGTATTTGGCAATATCTGGCTCTGGGTAGGTGCTTTTTCTCCATTTTTGAGCTGAGAAGCCTATGTTGTCACTTCCTGGTTGTGTGACCAGCAAGATTGCTTGGAGTGTCTCTTGCCTTTTCCCACTGAAGGGGTATCTATCTATTTACTCACATTTTCATGTTTTTGAACTGCCTGGTTGGCAGGAGCTAGAGCTGATAAATGGGAGCTCACCACGTCTTGCAGATTTGAACTGCCAACCTTCAGGTCAGCAGTTCAGCCTATCTTCAGGTCAGCAGTTCAGCAACGCAAGGGTTTAACCCATTGTGCCACTGCGATCCCAATTTGAGTACCAATTCAAGAATGTCCTGTGGCATTGATCATACTGGCTGGTCGATTAAGAGAGTCTCTCTTCAAAAAGATGTAATTCTGTTTTCTGTGTATATATATCAAAATGTTCAACTGGGTCCTTTCTGACTGATATCAGAACAGATTACAGGGAGTTATGCCCTGACACTGAAACACTGTGTGTGCGTCACCATGTGCCGGTAGCTTATGTTTGCAACTTTTAAGAATTTAGAATGTTTATCGTGCTTGATGCCTTTGAGCCTTCCCATTGGTCAGTCAAATATTATATGCTGTAACCCTGTTTGTGAACGCATACACAACAAATGGTCTTTAACTGCTTCTTTTGTGTTTTCATTCCGTGAAAGGTATAAGATATAGCAAGTGTATCATTTTGCTAGCTGATATATCCATCTAAAAGTTCTTTAGTGTCTATTTACAGTGTTATATTAACTTTTGTCATTGGCATTCGGAGGCTGAGATAGTTCTACTTATTTATGCAGTTACACAATTAGTTTTATGTTTGAATTTACTGTAATTCTTTTAATTTTTACACCCTTGGAGTTCTAACCTAAGAAGGTACTAATGTATTTAATAATGATAATTCTAAATCACTTTTAATTCAATCTTTATACTTAGTTTAAAAAAAATATTTTTCTCATACAAAAGCAAATTTAACAGGTTAGCAGTAGAGAGAAAAAGAAATTAAAATAAAATACTACAAGTAAAGATTTAACTATTGACAGAAGGAAGTATATATACTCCTTTTTCTCGTTACCATTGCAAATACAAAATAAATAAATATAAAGATAACTTTCAATCTCCAGTGGTTATTACAATATATTATACTGTAAGGTATATTATACTGTATGGATGCATTCTCACCCTCTTTTTATCAAACATAAATGTAAAATCACAGCACTATAAATGTTGAAACGATTGCTCCATTTAAGCAATGAAACCTACCACAAATCCTTAAAGCCAATGTATGGTCTTGGTTGCACTCGAAAACTCTTGCCACTGCTTAAATAAGGCAATACTTTGCCCATGGAAAGGAATGGGTGCCATCTTGTCATCTGCTTGAAGCAGAATATGTTTTTGAAGAAAGAAGGATTTATCAGTTATGGTCCGGATGATGTTTCTTTTTTGTTGTTTATTCGTTCAGTCCAAATCTTTGTGACCTCATGGACCAGCCCACGCCAGAGCTCCCTGTCAGCCGTGGCCACCCCCAGCTCCTTCAAAGTCAAGCCAGTCACTTCAAGGATACCATTCATCCTTCTTGCCCTTGGTCGGCCCCTCTTCCTTTTTCCTTCCATTTTCCCAAGCATCATTGTCTTCTCTAAACTTTCCTGTCTCCTCATGATGTGGCCAAAGTACTTCATCTTTGCCTCTAATATCCTTCCCTCCAATAAGCAGTTGGGCTTTATTTCCTGGAGTATGGACTAGTTTGGTCTCCTTGCAGTCCAAGGCACTCTCAGAATTTCCCTCCAGCACCACAGTTCAAAAGCATCTATCTTCCTTCACTCAGCCTTCCTTATGGTCCAGCTCTCACACCCATAAGTTACTATGGGGAATGCCATAGCTTTAACTATGCTGATCTTCATTGCCATTGTGATGTCTCTACTCTTCACTATTTTATCGAGATTGATCATTGCTCTCTTCCCAAGAAGCAAACGTCTTCTAATTTCCTGGCTGCAGTCAGTGTCTGCAGTAATCTTTGTACCTAGAAATACAAAGTCTGTCACTGCCTCCAAGTTTTCTCCCTCTCTTTGCCAGTTATCAATCAGTCTGGTTGCCATAATCTTGGATATATTTTAACATTGAAAGGCCTGGTTTAAACCCTGACCTCTTGGTCATAGTGCTCCAGAAATAAAGTACTGTAAACCATGTGTGTCCAAGCAGCACTAAATTCTGCAGATGCCCTTAGATAACCTGAACTTTCGATGACATCTTTCTATTTGAATCTACACCGAACTCAAATGCAGTTGCCTTGTTGCTGTCAACAGGATTCTAGCAGAGACAGCTGGAGGACTTCAGGTGGCAACTGAAAGGCAGCTTCTGAAAGTGTTATTACTCATGCTCTAGTTCTTCACACGTTGGCTTGGAAGCAAGCCCTGCTGATTGAAATGGAACATGCTCATAGGCAAGTGCGCATTAATAATGCTGCCCCCTTTACCTCTTTCAGTTTATAGGTGGACCTTGATGAAGTCTGTTACTATATTCACACACAAATTATCACATAGGCAGAGTCTTTCCTTCATGTAAGACATAGGAGTGAAGATAAAATCATTAGAAAGTTTGACAGTTGCTTTAGTTTTTTGGATGTAGTTGACTTGGCTTGCTTTAGTAGTGTTAGAATGAAAGTAAGGTATGTCATGATAATTTTCGTATGGAAAAGGTAACTTCACTATAATGAAGATTAGATACAGTTGATCTTCTTGTATAGGATGTGGGTGGGAGGGCTCTTTTC